AATAATACATTATTATTTTAGTTTATTCTGCAGAAAAATACTAAAAAGAAGAAAATTTTTAGGCTCAAGAAACAAATTTAGGATCTAGCTTTGAAGTGTTAGAGGGAGCTAGTAATAATTTGAATGAACATGATAATGTACTATTACATCTTAATATCAAGTCTCGAGAAAATAATTTTTGATGACTATTAATGTCAAATGCTTAAAATAAATTTTTTAGCCTAATACAACCAAAAGTACTCAATCAAGGTGTTGAGGTAAATAACTAATACTAATAAATTTCAAAAAGTGATCCTTTCAGAATGGTGTAATCATTATAGAATTACATATTTATTTTTAATACAACAAAATTAACAAAAGGAATCTCAAAACTATGCTGATCTGCAATCTGACGAGTATACAGATTTAGATGAAGAAATTGAAGAACAAGTTTTTGATAGGAAGGTAAGAATAATTCTAAATCTTTTTTAAATTAATAAAAATGCTAACACACGTATCAGAATCAGAATGATAATAGAGAGATAAGAAAATTTTACTGTTGATTTAGTTATTTTAAGCATTTTATATTTAATAAAGAATAAAAATCTATTAAAGTATGAATCAGTCAATACCCCAGCCAAAATTACTGATGCAGTCAAAAAGGATCAAGCAAAAAATGTCGTGTCTGTATGTAAAAATTATGTTTTAACTTCTTCAGATCATCATAGAATTATATAATACATAAAAATTTACAGGAAACACAAAAATTTGGTGATCTGCAATCTGATTCTGAAGAAATCGAACAAAATTTTGACAAATTAACATCGAGGTTGAGCCTAAAGCGCAAACCTATAATCAGTGAAACTTTTCGAAGTTCAAAAAAATTCAAATTACAAGTAAATATCATGAATAAATTTTTTGCTTTGTAATATCGAAAACTAATTCATAATTGACAAAAGGCCAAAGAAAAACAAAAGGTTAATGAAAGCACAATGATAAATGTTCCTTCTAATTCGCCTTCAGTTTATGTTGATGACCCTATACCAGTAAGAATTTTAACTGATATATCATAATAAAGATAATTTGTAATAATAATAATTATAATAATAATTATAATCATTACTAAGTATCATAGTCAGAACTTATTATAGATTTTTTTTTTTTACTATATGGTTTTTCCTTATTGTCAGAAATGTTCAGCATTCTATCACTATATGAAAGTTTTAGTAAAATACTGTATTTTATACCCTTTAACTGGAACTGCCCTTAAATAATTTTGAATAGCTCTAATTGTATAATTTTGTTTAACAGGAATTTTATATTGATAAAGTCAAAGAACCAAGAAGTAAGACTTAAAATAAATTTTTAGTGTAATTATCATTAATTATTTCTAACTACTTGAAACTATCAGCTTCAAATAATTCTATTAATATTTTGGTATATGATATTATTGAAATTTTGATTTTAAAATCTTTAACACCAATATAATGAAAATCTGTATGATAATTCTGTGTCAAGGAATCAGATGATTCAAATTCTGAAGAAGAAATTGAGAAATAAGGTATTTTAGCCTGAAAGCACAAACATAAGATCAAACGAAAGTATGAAATATCAAAGAAACCCAAAACAACAGATTCTAAGGGTAAACAAGTGAATAGGGTGAATAAATCCTATCTTAATATTTTTTCTATTAAGTCCTATGATATTGTGTTTTTTTTTTAGTTTCAGTGTTTTCTAATTCATTTATCAATAAAAGGGAGATACTAACAATGAAAGTTCAGTAAGTTTAAGATTATGTATATTAACTTACATATTACATTATTAAAAATTTATTTAAGAATCTCATTCATTTATACTAAATTTTTAGGATCTAAGTAATGAGGCAAAATTCCTTAAAAATAAATTCGCGAATAAACAGTTAACTCAGTTGACATTAAATAGAGACAAACTCTTCTCAAATAGCAATTCAATTGGAGATTCCCTTACTACAAATTTTGAAGACCTCTTCGATAAAAATGACATTGAAATTAATATTTCATTCCAATCATCACTCGAATATTCAACAAGCATTGAAAAATTAGAAGGATACTTAAAAGAATGGATTTTTCAATTTGATCAAATTACTTCTTTAAAATATAAAGTTGATGAAAAGAGATTAAAAATGCTTTATAACCTTAAAAAAGCTTATATTTCTTTAATTATAATGCTTGATGCTGAGTATGAACAAAACATGAATAAGCCTCCCTCTTATAATACATTGCATGGATTTGTATGTGAAAAATACAATCAATTTTAAACATAAAGAAAAGACAGGAGAGAAAGTACTGGCTTGGAACTTGGAGGTTAATAGAATTGTTTAATTTAACATGCTGTCCTGCTAATATTAAAGTTGAAGCTGGAATTACAGCAAAATTTTTGATGAATAGCACTGTTGAAAATTATTATCTTTTTCTCAAAAGTCTTTTAGATGATAATGATGCAAGTCATCAGTCTCCTAAATTCAACTCTTCTGTAATTTAATGGTAAGTTATAATCATGTTATTTTTCAAATCTTTTATGGAATATAGATGTTTTTAATAAAAATATAATTTCAATTATAAAGCATTAATCTTTTATAGAAACTGAAATTGCAGCTAAAAGATAAATTGCTAAGTAATTTGAACACTCATATTTAAGTGAATTATATATATATATATATAATGTATAAGTAGATTTTTGTATGGTTTATATTTCAAATCGAGGTTCCTAATTTCCAGCTTCAGCCACAACAATAATTAATCACAAACCTTGCACTCATATCTGATTTTATATATAATGATAATGTTTAAGTAAATATATTATATTATAGAATTTCTTGTTCACTATAAAAAAAAAAGAATAATAAATTTAATATAATTTGTATGTAGTGTGTCCAGATTATCCAGGTATGTGGTATGTCCAGATTATCCAGATTATGTGAATTCAATTCAGTTTCTATTGCTTAAACAATAGAAACTGAATTGAATCCACATTTTCTAGATACTCTAATTTGTATGCTGAAATATTTACAGTTTGCCAATATCTGAAAAACATAATTACCTTATATGTGAAGTTTGCAACAGAAAAAATAATAACGTGGGAGTGATATAATATCTGTATTATTAGCATTTATTTATGAAGCATTTGATTTAACAAATGCATTGTGTAATTGTATTATATATTTTCATGATATATAAATTAATTAATCTGCAAAATTCAAATGACTGAAGGTGAAAAAAGAACAATTGTTTTGGTATTACTGCTTGTGCCAGCTTTTATTCTCACATTTCTTTGTCCATCGCTTGGTAATATTCGTTTGAATATTTGATAAAGAATAACATCCATATAACAATAATATATATATTCAAATTTCTCTATTATAGCAATAGCAAAGGTCAAACTTTTTGATCAAACTGATGGTATGCTTAAGTATAATAAAGAAGTTGAATATGCATAAGTACAGGACAATTTTAATGATGCAGCTATTTACTGTAAATTTTATTTATTTTTTCAATATTTTCTTTAGATATATTGCACTCACTTTATTAACTGCTGGTATATATATTATTTATATTTTTTAATGAATATTCGT